TAGTTCACTCATATATACTCTTTGTGAGAGTTTTATTCCAGAGTGTTTAAGTGTTTTTATACACTTTAAGGGAGGTTGTTCCCTTGTTGTAAACTCGAAGGAAGTTCTTTGTTCCTTCGTGAGAAGTCTTGGAGTGCGGTATCTCCAAGCAAAGGTGTTGAGGCTCGTGTGACTCGGGTTCTCAAGTTGTATCGGTTTGTTAAGCACCCTTAAGCTTAACGGAGTTAGTGTAGCTCGAGAGAGTCTCTCGGGAGGCTGGATTAGCCACACGTTGTGGTGAACCAGGATAAAATTCGGTGTGCTCCTTCCTTACGCTCTTTACTTTTACGCTCTCGTTTTTAATTTCCTGCAATTTTGTTTTAAACGCTATTCACCCCCCCTCTAGCGTTGGGCCTTTATTCTAACACTTCTGACTCTCTTCTGGTGCTACCTTGTTTGATTTGTTGCTCGGTCAAGGTCCAGGATCCTTGACTCGTCCCTGCGGCTTGGCGGCAACAGGATAAAAAGAGGAGACTCTAGATAGGTGGGTGGTGGCGGAAGTCTCCTCAGTTGATCCACATCATTGGCCTTCATAGCGAGATTGATTTTTTTCTTATCTTCAACAGGCTGACCATCCATTTGTGGTTTGATGATTACGACCGTGCTTTCCCCCATGGATGAGTCTTCAGTGTCACTTACCAAAAGTTCATCCCAACTCTTTTGGCTCCAACTATCCTTCGGGCAGACAAAGTCACACCCGTCAAGTAGGGAGTCAAAGAAAGTTTGGTCTAAGTCTCCTGATGAAGCATGATTATCTATAGACGTTATTGGTTCCTCTGTGCTAGGTATTTCTTCGTCTATAGATTCCTCCTTAGACTCTTGAATGTTGGAATCTTGGGGGTAGGTAGTGGGCTCTATCTCCTCCAGAACAGGTTCCTCTAGAGGTGTGTCTTCAACACAATTAAGGATATGGTCGTTTATTGCCATAGGCAAAATTTCCTCCTCCTTCTGTTCTTGAATAAGCATAGGTGGTTCTTAGTCAGGTTCCTCAGTTGGTTCCACCTCTTGTACGACTATGCTGGTTGAGACTTGGCTAGGAGGACATTCAGGTAACATCACCACAGTAGCCCTGGCGAGAGTTGTTATGCTCTCGGGTTTCTGTGATGGTGAAAAACTGGGTGAATCTTCTAGAACTGGAACCTGATGGTTGAATGGTTTAGGGTTGGCCTTAGGTTCTAGAGCCTCTTTTTGAGCATTAATCTCCCTCATTTGATCTTGAGATTGGAGGGAGCGTTTAAGCTCAATAGCCTTACAGAGATCATTGACTAATTTATCAGCTTTAGCCTCAGCTTCTAGTCTCTCTCTTTGGAAGTCATCCAGCATTTTCTGCATCATATCTGATCCTTCGCATAATCTCCTTTCAAACTCCTTTTCCTTCCGGACTGTTTCAAGAAGTTTTGCTCTTTCTCAAATTGCCACTTTGTTTGCTTCAATTTGTTCTTCCGCAAACAAAGTGTAGTCACGGGAGTAGGGTGGTTCGTACCAGGAACCTTTAGCGAATAAAACTTCGTCGAAATAGAAAATTTTCTGTTCTAATCTTATGATCTCTTCGACGAGTGGATCAGATTGATCATCGCACACCGGCCCAAATTGGTCATAGTCATTTTGGTCACCATGAGGTTCATAATAATTATCCCCATCAGAATCTTGGTATGGAGAATATCCAAAGTTCCTAGACGAGGTTTCATATGGTGTTTCCTCATGGTAGGGATAGTAGTCAGATCTATTGTTGACTTGGTAGTAATCATCATTTGGGTTCTGATGTGGGTGGTAAGGTTGATGGTACGGAGGGCGGTTGGGTGATTGGTAGAAAGAAGGCGGACCGTAATAACCACTAGAGTTATCCATATTAATTATTACGGGTGGTTGGAGAAAAAGAAGTGAGAAGATTGTTCTAACCAATCTTCACCCAAGCTAATCAGAAGAAATTAAACTAAGGCCGTGCCACTCCCCGGCAACGGCGCCATTTGACAGTTGTAGTTTTTCGGGTAGTAAACCTTCCCAACAAAGGGTTAGTTTTCTCTCTGAGTGTCGTATCTCTCGAGGAGTGGACGAAGGGAATTAGTTTAATTACTCTAAGTAGGCGAAGATTAGGATTGGTTTATGAAAGTCTTCTCGGAACGATTATAAAAGGAGCAGAGTAAAAATAATAAATCAAGTCTACATAGTATAAGTGTAGATCTAGACCTAGGGTCAGGACATCATCTGGATCTATTTTATCATACTCCCTCCGTCCCACTCTTTTTGTCCACTTTCATTTTTGCACACCATCCAATGCACTTCTTTAATCCATTTTAGCTTGTAATTTGTATATTAAAAAATTATAAAAATTATATATTAATAATCTATATGTTAAGACAAATCAAACAAGATCACACATGACTATTTTTAGACTTACACATTGAGAGAATTTGATGAGTTAAAGCGCTTAGATGAACAGTTCCAAAAGTCAAAACTGGACAAAAAGAGTGGGACGGAGGTAGTATTAAATTAACAATTGGAATAATAATATTTCTATTACTACTCATCCATTTCTAGATTTGTACTTAATCTGTTGCACTTGAATATCATAGCCATTTTGGCATACAATATCTTCTCAATAAATAGCTAATTAAATCTTTCGAGAATAATTAACTAAATAAGGCAAGAACAATAGATTAACCATTCCAACATTAATTTAACATAAAAAAATAAACAACCAAACTAGTCCGGACCCAGAGATCCGGACCCTAACTCATACTATGCAAACATAAATTAAAATAGCATTTTATTAAATAAAGAAAACTTACGACTTCCGTAAAAGCGGAACAGAACTGATCGGGAGTAGAATTCCTCCAAAAATTACTCTAAAACTACTCAAATGCTAAACTAATACTTGGAATTGGGATATAAAGCTCAAATCCCGAGAGAGGGGATGAAAGTGATATGTTGAATGGGGAGAATGCCGCTGTATTTATAGGGCAGAGGCCGAGGCGTCCAAGTCAAAGCGTCCAAGTCCAGGCGTCTAGATCGGGACGCTTGAGCTGCTCCGGCCAACCAGGTTTTGCCACGTGTCTTCCTTAGTCTGCAATCCAGCCAAGGCGTCCAACTCCAAGCGTCCAACTTGGCCAAGCGTCCAAGTTGGACGCCTTGAGGCCTTGGTCCGTTGGGCTTCGCGGCTGTTACGAGATCTTGGCCCAATTTCACTGATTTTCGGCCTGAATGTCGATTTTACCTTCTCTGAAGCTCGTTCAAGCCCGAACTTGATCCCTTGATAATTCGTTCCCTTTTTCTCAAGTTTTTGAACATAAAATGGATGATTTATGATGATTTCATGTGGAATCTCTGTTTATGACTCTTAGAACGAAAATGAGAGTTTTATGCATTAAAATCACATTTTAAGAGATAATTAAATATTATTTACGTGCAATAACGTTTAAACATGATGTAAATGATAATAACGAAACGGACTTATCAGCGAGCATGGGGAATCGCAGGCTCCTGCACTGATTCCCTCATCTTCTCCAAGTTTGTCTGGATAGTCCAATGGGAAGCCTGTAAGGACCTCAAACCACGGGAGAAGCTTGCCCAACCCTCTGTAAAAACAGGATAAGTTTGCGGCATGAACTTGCGCCGAATGGGGAGACTGACGGCCGAAGGTGCGGTGGCGGGACGTCGTTCCTCCGGTTCCCGCTGCTCCTCCTGATTTTGCTGCGTCTCAGTCTCTCTCCTCATCTCTGGAGGAACCTCGGCATCGTTTTGCTCTACAGCTTCCTTCTCTGACGTGGAAGGGGCGTCCGACACTTTCTGAATTTCAATCTCCACCTCTGCTGCAGAAGAAGACCCTGGTTCTTCCTGCTCCTCAACTTCTATCTCCAGCTCTTGGGGGGTAGATGCAGTTTGAGGGAGGGAATTGTTTGCATCAGGCTGAGACTGCACCGCTGGTTTTTTGAGTGGTACTTGGTCTGAAAGTTCATCTGCCTCATGATCCAGGCTCTCCGGACGGGGTAGCTCTAAACCTCCGGGTGCAGCAGCAGAGGTGGTATTCTGAGTACCAGAAGAAGTTGACACGGGGCTGGGTGAAACAGAAGTACCATCACCCCTATGCTTCTTGGGAAGGAAATCATCGTCAGTAACTCCTTCTCTAGGTCGTTTCTGGGATGGGATGGGCCTCCTGAGCCCAGGAATGGCAGAGATAGGAACGGCCTCCAGTGCAGCAACCGGCTTGCAAATAGCCAAGGCGGTGGAATCGCCCTGGGGTTGATTCCCGGTAGAGCTCATAGCCGGGTTGGACTATGCAGCAGAAGGAGCCTTTGATCCCTCAGGAGAAGGCACACCTTCAAATGGAAACGGGTCAGGACCCAGGGGGTAGTAAAAACCCGCCTTCTTGAACAGTTGGGCGTCTTAAAGGGAGTGGTGTGAAATTAGACCTTCTTTTTCTCTCAAGGCGTTGAACACTCCCTCTGCTAATTCTGCTGCAGCAAATTTTGTCCGGGAAATGGAACGGCGGAGGACAACAACCGGTAGATCAAGGGGGCTGTGGGCCGGAAACTCAATAACAAAGTATCTCAATGACCATTTTTCATACTTGAACTCAACCTTCTCAAAAATTGGGTAATGGTTGTGGGGATATAGGCTGTAGAAGGGGAAACCACCGATACTGAAGAGGAGAAGGAACTCATCCAATTTTGGGGTTCTGTCCAGGGCACAACACCGTAGGATGTAAGACACGACATACTTGTGCGCGTTGGCGGTTAGTTGACCCAGAGCAAATCCAAAATGGAGGCAGAGGTCGCGAAGCAGACCGTGGAGGGGCAATCTAAAACCATTTTCCACAGAGTGGTACTGCATGACCATGTATTTTTGGGGGTTTGGATTGTAGGATAGACTGATTCCCCCAACAGCATCGGGATGGTGGACCCAGAAGCCCTTGCCCAGGAGCGCGGCCACCTCTCGAAGTTCGTTCTCCTTGATAATGGAAGGTCCATGGGTCCAGGTTTCCGGATTCGTAGGAGCCATTTCGAAAAAGGGACAAGAATTAGGGGAAATTGCAATCGGAATTCGGGTCGGGTAAGATTCGGCAGCGAGAGGAAGAAGACGAGACTAGATGAGGTTTTTATCCGTTGGAAGGGTGGACCCGAGGTACTCAAGTGCGACGTTTCTAATCCGACACGAAGACCGAAGACGGTTCATCATTAGTTTTCTAGCGACACGTCGCCAGAAAACTAGGGGGCTTGTGATGGATATCGGGTCTGGTAGACCCGACTCCAGGCCCAAATAAAGGCCTATAATAACCCAAGAGGTATAAAGTCAGATGGAAATAACGGGCCGAGCCCATAATTGCGCATACGGCAGATCGAGAGAGACGGCCCAGTTATGGAATAAATTAAGGTGACCCAGTCCAAGAAAGGAGTGGGACACGTGGCCCACGTCATTGGGTCATAAACGGAGTGGGAAGAGAACGAGACCGGGAAAGAGGGAATCACAACCCCACGATCTCCATAATCCTTTCCATTTTGTATAATTTTAATTATATTATGAGAGATACTATAAAAAGGGGGAGAACCCGCCATTGTAAAGCATGAGACAATTCAATACTCAAGAAAAGAATACTATCGAGTGGTTATATCTTCCTGATTCTTATTACGTTCTTGGTCCGCCATCTGATCGGGTTAATCCCATCACTACGGATTGAACTCTTGCTATTCATTTTGAATACATGAAGATAATATACACAAAAGTTTACATACTTTAATGTTCTAACTTGACACTATTATTTACTAGCCTTGTGTCCTATTCCTTCATAAGCATATCGAAGTGAAGTCTTTACTTCTTGAAGCGGCTAAACTTCATGCTCATATAGGTAGTCCTCTTTATTCTTGCACCTGCATATGCAATTTTTCAAAAGAACTATTAAGAAGACGTACTTCATCCTCCTAATCTTACAGGTCTGAACACATACTTTGGGATAATATACTTAATGTGTTCCAATTTCTAGATGTTAAGATTTTCCACATTGAATTCAACATCTAATGTCTTATTAGATGGGAATTGGGATTCTTACCATGAGAAATTTAGATAGACTTCAATCCAATCCCTATAGCCGATCTCTGCACAAGATTTCTACTTAACCCATTGGTTAAATAATCAGCCAAATTTTGTTGAGTCCTTACAAACTCCACTGATATCACATCATGCATAATGAGCTCTTGAACCATGCTGTGTCTCACACCTAAGTGTCTTGACTTCCCATTGTAAACTTGACTATAAGCCTTAGCCAAAGTAGCTTCACTATCGCATCGAACAGATATGGGAGATATTGGTTTTGGCCACAATGGAATGTCATATATCAGATTTCTTAGCCATTCTGCTTTTTTATAGGCTGCCGCCAAAGCCACAAACTCAGACTCCATTGTAGAGTTAGTTATGTAAGTTTGTTTCTTTGATGCCCAACCAATTGCTCCTCCACCGAGAAGGAATATCCATCCACTCGTGGAAGAGTGATCTTCTATATTAGTTATCCAACTTGCATCCGAGTATCCTTCCAAAACTGAAGGAAAGTCGGTGTAAGTTAATCCATAATTCATGGTTCCCTTTAAGTATTTAAATACTCGGTTAATCGCTTGCCAGTGATGCGAACTAGGATTGCTAGTATACCTACTAAGTTTTCCAACCGCATATGCTATGTCTGGCCTAGTACTAATCATAGCATACATCAAACATCCAATAGCTCGTGAGTATTCTAGTTGAGATACTGCAACACCTTTATTAGGGAAGAGCTTTAGACTTGGATCAATAGGAGTATTGACCGGAGAACAATCTTTGAAATTAAACTTCTTCAAAATCTTCTCAATATAATGTGATTGAGAAATAAATATTTCATTATTCTTACGCTTGATCCTTAAACCTAGAATCACTTCAGCCTCCCCCATGTCTTTCATGGCAAACCTAGATGACAAAAATTCCTTGGTGTTATCAACTTGATTTTGATTAGTACCAAATATTAACATATCATCTACATATAGGCAAATTATAACTCCTTGTCCAGAAGCATCAAATCTGCTATATACACACTTATCTGCTTGGTTTAATTCAAAACCATTTGACAAAACAACGTCATCAAATTTTTGATGCCATTGTTTTGGTGCTTGCTTTAGACCATAAAGAGATTTCACCAACTTACAAACCTTATTTTCATTCCCAGGCATGACAAAACCTTCAGGTTGTTTCATATATATCTCTTCATCCAATTCACCATTCAAGAATGCAGTTTTTACATCCATTTGGTGAATCACTAGGTTGTGTATAGCCGCAAGGGCTAACAACAATCTAATTGTAGAAATTCTAACAACAGGTGCATAGGTATCAAAGAAATCAATGCCTTCTTTTTGTCTAAATCCTTGGATGACCAATCTCGCTTTGAACTTATCTATGCTTCCATCAACCTTTATTTTCTTTTTGAAGATCCATTTACATCCTAGGGGTTTGCACCCGGGAGGTAAAGCAGTCAATTTCCATGTATTATTTTGCATAATAGAGTCAATTTCATCTTGAATTGCTTCCTTCTAAAATGCAACATCCCTTGAAGCCATAGCTTCATTAAAAGTCTTAGGATCTTCCTAAATATTGAAACAATATTGATATTGAAATTCAATCTCATCTCTTGTTCCTTCCATCAAGTAGAGTTGAAAATCATCACCAAAAGATTTTGGTTTTCTTGCTCTTGTACTTTTCCTTACTTCAACATTTATGGAAGGCACATTTTGAGAGACCTTTGAAGTAGGGGTCATATCCTTTGGTCTGGATATAGAAGTAAATCTTTCTTCATCAAAAATTGCATCTCTTGACTCTATAACTGTGTTTACAGATACAAAGTCATTAGGTTCTATAACATAGAACCTATATGCCTTGGAATGCATAGCATATCCAATAAAGATACAATCTATGCCTTTTTCACCCAAAGTTTTCCTCTTTGGTTCCGTAAGTCTAACAACGGCCCTACACCCCCAAACTTTAAGATAACTTAAGTTTGGTAGTTTTTTGTACCAGAGTTCATACGGGGTTGTTTTCATCTTTTTATTAGGAACTCTATTCAACAAGTAACAGGCCGTTAACATCGCCTCACCCCAAAATCCTTCGCTTAAGCCCGAATAGGATAACATGGAATTAACCATTTTTTTTAAAGTCCTATTCTTCCTTTCTGCAACACCATTTTGTTGTGGTGTATAAGGGGCAGTTGTTTGATGTACTATACCAGTAATTTTGGGCTCGGTGCTATGTTAAAAAATTCAATTGGAATTTTAATTTTCGAATTTTCTTTAAAAGAAAACTTCCGATGGATAGCACCGAATTTTGAAGAAGAACTTCTGCGCGAAGAATTGCATGCTTTGGGTAATAGCCGCGAATGGTGTCTTCTCCTTCTCACCCCTAGTCTATAAAATCCCGCTAGGCATGGTCGAATTTCGTTCGGATTTTTCATAGCAATTCTCATATCTCGTTCTTGGACCCCGCAGGGGCTGCCGCCCCTTGAACCCTGCTCGGGGGCGCTGCCCCGAACCCCCGCCAAGGGGGCGCTGCCCCCTTGGAACCCCCGATGTAACGGGATTTTTATCGTAACAAACTCAATGAAGCGTGCACTCCGCACCACCAAACTTCTTTGATGATTATTAAGATACCATTGGTCGTAGTTTTTCCAATTACACTAAAATATATAACACAGTCTAGCAAGCATACGCTCCTATAAGTGTTTTATATACTTAGTTTTTACTTTGGAGAACTTTGCATTTTTCGGTCGGGTTTCAGCGCCGGTCAGCTAGGCCATGGTTCTGGGCTAGCCATCTACCCAGCGATGGTAGATATCACCCAGCCATGGGTAAGTGATTCCGGGATTCCAGAATCATGCCACCCAGCGATGGGAGATATTACCCAGCGATGGGTAAGCAGCCTTCAGCCCAATTGAATTCCAGAACCATGCGAAACAACGATGGGAAGCTCTACCCATCGCTGTTCAAGCCTTGGTCCAACATTATCACAAGGCAGAATGCCCTTACCCAGCGATGGGAGATATTACCCATCCATGGGTAAGTGACTTCCCAGTGATGGGAGGATATTACCCAGCCATGGGAAGGCATGACCGTTGGAAGTCATTTAAGGTTGATTCTTTCCTTGTTTGGAAGTCAACCTCCCACCCAACGATGGGAAGCTTTTACCCATCGATGGGTAGGTGACCGTTGGCTTCAAAACTGAAGGAAAATTGGCTTACCAGCGATGGGTAAGTCCAAACATTGATGGAAAGCCAATATCCTGCAGATCCTTTTTTAATCAACCCCATAAATCAAGCAAATCACCCCTTTAATGCATTGGTCCGTTGGAGCCTATTTTGGCACTATAAAAAGGGGTGTTTGGATCTGCTTTTCTTACCAATTCACTTCATATTATTCATATTATCATTGCATTCAAACAACATCATTTTCCATAGCTTTCTAGAGCCAATTTGTGTGAAGTTTGAGTTGTTCTTGAGCGTACTTAGTTTACTCATCATCTACTCTTAAAGAGAGTCTTGTTCTTGAGTGTTTAGTGTTGTATACACGTTAAGGGAAGCTTGTTTCCCTTGGTTGTACGAAGGAAAGGTATCTTCTTTCGGGTTGAAGTCTTGGAGTGCGGTATCTCCGAGCAAGTGTTGTTGAGGCTCGTGGGACTCGAGTTCTCAGGTTGTAACGGTTTGTTAAGCACTCGTAAGCTTAACGGAAGTAGTGTAGCTCGAGAGAGTCTCTCGGGAGACTAGATTAGCCACACGTTGTGGTGAACCAGTATAAATCTTGGTGTGCTCTCTTTACGCTTTTTACGCTCTTTACTTTTCACTTTCTTAATTTTTTATTCATGTGATTTCTACGATCAAACGCTATTCACCCCCCCCCTCTAGCGTTGGTCACTTATTCTAACAATTGGTATCAGAGCCTAACTCGCGTCCAAACTTAACTGTTTGAGAGTAAAAGCGTTGATCATGGGTTTTTCTTCTAGAAATTTGTATGCAAGAATAGGTGAAGGGCAATCAACCACACGGCCACCTCTTTTTGATGGAACCAATTATACATATTGGAAAGAACGAATGAGAATCTATATTCGTTCCACCAACTTCCAATTATGGTTGGTTATCAAAAACGGGGAAGAGGTGCCGATGAAGAAAGTTGGCGACAAGTTGATCCCCAAGACCGAAGACGAGTTTGATGCCGAGGACATCAAAAAGGTCGAGAATTATGCAAAGGCAATAAACATGCTTTATTGTGCCGTAAATCCTGATGACTACCGCAAGATCTCCTACTGCTCAACCGGCAAGGAGATGTGGGATAAACTTGAGGTGACGTACGAAGGAACGGACCAAGTACGTGAAGCCAAGATCGACTTCCTCACCCAAGAGTATGAGATGTTTAGGATGAAGGAGCACGAGAAGATCGACGACATGTTCGACCGATTTTCCAAGATAGTCAACGATCTTCATGCATTGAAGAAGACTTACACTGACAGAGATCTTGTACGAAAGATCCTACGGAGCTTGACATCCGAATGGCGATCCAAGGCCGATGCCATCTATGAGTCAATCGGCACATCAAATGTCACCATCGACGGTTTAAGAGGTAATTTAAACACTCATGAATCTACTATACTAACCCGTCTTTGAATGACCAAAGGAAAGGCATAGCATTAAAAGCCTTCAAAGAACCAACGATGAATGACTCAAGCGACGATGATGAAGTCAAGCTTGTTATGAAGAAGTTTTGCAAACTTCTAAGGAAGAAAGAAAAGGTTGAGGATGGCCCTGTGTGCTATGGATGTGGTGAAGCCGGGCACATCAAGAACAAATGCCCAAGAAACGGAAGGAATGCTCGTCACTTCAAAAAGCAAAGAGCATACATCTCTTGGGGTGGAGACTCCGGCGATGAATCAAGCGAACAAGAGGAAGAAGAGGAAGCAAATCTTTGTCTCATAGCTCAAGAAGAAGAGGAGTCCGCCAACAACGAAAACCAAGAGGTACATATTTTTTCTACCGGTTCTTATTCTCTTGAAGAAATGCAAGAAGCTCTCCAAGAGCTTTATGACGAGTTTGTTAGCGCTTTTAAAACCAACAAAGCTTTAAAGAAACGTTTTTCTAATCTTGAAACTGAGTTTGAAAAACTTCAAAAGGAAAACGAAAAACTAAAAGAGGAAAATAAATTTTATGGTAAAAGAAGCGCCGACAAACCCGAGAGCTCTACAAAACATTGTGACTCTTGCATAGCTTTAAAAGAACAAGTTGCTGAACTAGAAAACGCGGTGAAGAAATTTAATAAACCACACAAGGATCTTAGCCTCATTTTTTATTCTATGCAACACACTAAACAAGGAATAGGGTTTGGGAAGATTGATGAACCTAAAAATAAAGAAAAAGTTGAGCACAACCGTAAACCACCTAGAGCTCAACTTAAGAAAGATAAAAATAAAAGTAATAGAGAATCTAGACAAAAGGTTAGTCATGAACACGAGCACTCTAAGCAACCTAGGAGGAATTATCACAATAATTTTATGAACAAAAATAATTTTTCAAATAGACAAAATAATGCTAGAACACCTAGAAGAGAAAATCTTCATATACCCAAAAACCAATATTTTCTCAAAATAGGACAAACATGGTTAGGCCCCCTAGCTATTATCAACCTAGGTGTATGTTCAATCCAAACGTATTATGCCATTATTGCAATAGGGTAGGACATATAGCTCCCGTGTGTTTTACCAGACATAGGCACTTCACCTATAATGAAACACACAACATATTTGATGCTAACGAAAAGAAATCCTTTGGAAAAGGATATTCATATAATAAACAATCTCCACAGGATAATGCACAAAAGAAACCTTACTATTTCTTCTACTTTGATGAAAAGAAGAAAGTCCACATTCCGTTACCGGAACCAACACAAATCACACCAAGATATCGGCACTCCGTTCAAGTAGACTGGAACCCGCCAACCACGAGATCATGGGTTGGCCAAGGTAATTCCTAAACGATCATCTAATCGGGTGTGTGTGTGCGTGTAAGGAAACGAATTTTGGGTGTGTGTGTGGGCAATAAAGGTTAACTAACCCCCAAGGACCCATAGACATAGTTTGGGTACCAAAGTGTTGCTTTTTTGCAGGTACATATCAAAGTGAGGAACTCAGGGGGAACCAGTGATGGGTGGTTTATCCCATCGCTGGGAAGGAAGTATTTTCTAACTAGCAACCCTCTTCCCATCGATGGGAACTTCTTCCCATTGCTGGGTGTTTGACACTTTTTTTAAAAAAAATTTTTTCCAGTAGCTGTCTTTCCATGGATGGGAGAACCTTACCATCGCTGGGAAGACTGCCTTCACTTTTTCCTCCCTTTCCAGTACCTATCTTCCCATCGATGGGAGAACCTTACCATCGCTGGGAAGCCTGTTGCAGTTCAAAAATCATAGCCGTTGGGCACCTCATTCAATGCCCAACAGCCATATTTTTGAACACCAAAGGCCCAAATTCTCTTTTCCTATAAATATTAACCATCCTTGGTCATTTTTAACACACAATTTACATTCCTTTTTCGTACTTTAAGCCTCTACTCACTTTCTAAACGCTTCAACAATGGACAGAGGAAAGTCAAGGACCAAAACCGAGGCTTCAAAGAAGAAGGCCAACACCGACGCCACGACCTCTTCCTTATTTTCTCCTTATTAAATATGATTGTATTTTTATCCGTTGCATTCCGCATTTCCCTTTTAATGAATAAAAACTTACCTTTAATTCTTTTTGTTAATGTCAAAAGGGAGAAGATATAAAGGTTATGCATAGATTGAGGGGGAACTTTCTCTAAAACTAACTCTTATTCAACACATAAACTTTGTTGAAAAAAAAATTGCATTTATTAAGGGGGAACATTTTTAAAGTCTAAAATCAATCCTCCTATGCATAACCCCGTTTTATTTGCCATTATCAAAAAGGGGGAAATTGTTGAAACCCGGTTTTATCACGTTTTCGTACTAAAGCCGTGTTCGTTTTTATGACAAGTTTTGATAATGCCAAACCGCCGTGAACGAGACAAGTTTTTGATCATACAAGGTGAGAAATAAATATAAGAAGAAATCTAGAGAACAAGAGCTAAAAGAGACCAAGAACGAAGACCGTAGTCTTTAGCGTCATTGAGTCGGTCACAATGTGATCAAGACCGACCCAAGCTTTGCACTTTGGCTCTTTAGGCTAAAACATTTTTTATTGCATTTTACATATCATCAAAATTATTTTGAAACATGCTTAAACATATTAAAAACACTTGGTGTTTGCCCAAACCAAAAACCAAGCCATACGGGGTTCGGCTTTCAGAAACCGGCGTTCGGCATTCGGTTATCGGCGTTGGTTTTTGGCGTCCGAACCAATCAAGTGGTTTTCTACTTTTTATGATTGGTTTTTACTTCTGGGCACATTTAAATAGTTTTTCATCAAAAACACTTCAAAAACCACCTTTCGTTTTTTGTCGTTTGATAAAAACCATGTGAAACGGCATAAACTTGGCTAGCTGTGGTTTTTACTTAAATGAAGTGGTTTTCAAGTCTTTTTGTGTGGGAATTGTTTTTGAATGCATTTAAATGGTTCTCCAATCAAAACATCATGAAAATCACTTTTCAGTTTTGTCTATTGGTAAAAACCACCTGTGTACGGTGTGGACTTGGTCAATAGTGGTTTTTACCTTAACGACGTGGTTTTCAACTTACAAAGCTTGTTTTGACATCACAATACATTAAATAAGTGTTTTATATACTTAGTTTTTACTTTGGAGAACTTTGCATTTTTCGGTCGGGTTTCAGCGCCAGTCAGCTAGGCCATGGTTCTGGGCTAGCCATCTACCCAGCAATGGTAGATATCACCCAGCCATGGGTAAGTGATTCCGGGATTCCAGAATCATGCCACCCAGCGATGGGAGATATTACCCAGCGATGGGTAAGCAGCCTTCAGCCCAATTGAATTCCAGAACCATGCCAAATTGCGATGGGAAGCTCTACCCATCGCTGTTCAAGCCTTGGTCCAACATTATCACAAGGCAGAATGCCCTTACCCAGTGATGGGAGATATTACCCATCCATGGGTAAGTGACTTCCCAGCGATGGGAGGATATTACCCAGCCATGGGAAGGCATGACCGTTGGAAGTCATTTAAGGTTGATTCTTTCCTTGTTTGGAAGTCAACCTCCCACCCAGCGATGGGAAGCTTTTACCCATCGATGAGTAGGTGACCGTTGGCTTCAAAACTGAAGGAAAATTGGCTTACCAGCGATGGGTAAGTCCAAACATTGATGGGAAGCCAATATCCTGCAGATCCTTTAATTTTTTAATCAACCCCATAAATCAAGCAAATCACCCCTTTAATGCATTGGTCCGTTGGAGCCTATTTTGGCACTATAAAAAGGGGTGTTTGGGTTTGCTTTTCTTACCAATTCACTTCACATTATTCATATTATCATTGCATTCAAACAACATCATTTTCCATAGCTTTCTAGAGCCAATTTGTGTGAAGTTTGAGTTGTTCTTGAGCGTACTTAGTTTACTCATCATCTAATCTTAAAGAGAGTCTTGTTCTTGAGTGTTTAGTGTTGTATACACGTTAAGGGAAGCTTGTTTCCCTTGGTTGTACGAAAGAAAGGTATCTTCGTTCGGGTTGAAGTCTTGGAGTGCGGTATCTCCGAGCAAGTGTTGTTGAGGCTCGTGGGACTCGAGTTCTCAGGTTGTAACGGTTTGTTAAGCACTCGTAAGCTTAACGGAAGTAGTGTAGCTCGAGAAAGTCTCTCGGGAGACTGGATTAGCCACACGTTGTGGTGAACCAGTATAAATCTTGGTGTGCTCTCTTTACGCTTTTTACGCTCTTTACTTTTCACTTTCTTAATTTTTTATTCCTGTGATTTCTACGATCAAACTCTATTCACCCCCCCTCTAGCGTTGGTCACTTATTCTAACATACAGATGTCATCCCATGAGACTAGAAGAGTTCTTCTATGTTCAGAAGATGATCCCCAGAAAAAGTCCCTACAAAGAGCCTGAATTTTGTGCAACACCTTGTTGGGAATCAGAAATAACCTGCTCCAGAATGTGATTATTCCATACAGTACTGAGTTGATAAGCTCCATCTTCTATGGATATGATAAGTTCTTGGAAGACCATGAGGTAATTTTGACAGTCATCTTGTCAATGAGCATATTGCATTCTTTTTCACTAATCCTAGAGGATGTGATAGGGCTGCCCAAGTATCTGAAGGGAAAATATCCTTTTTTCGTCTTGGTGATTCTTAGGAGTTTTTCCTCCTCTTGTTTGGTCACACCCCCAAACACTATCTCAGATTTGGATAGGTTGACAGATAGTCCAGAAGTGGCCTTAAAGTGTTCAAGGGAATGCATGATACAGTGTATAGAATTTTCCTCAGCCTTAGAAGCAACAATAAGATCGTTCGCAAATACAAGATTGATGATATTCAGGGATTTACACAGTGGGTGAAAATTAAAACTTTCTTTCATTGCATAGTAATGGAAAGATCTAGTCAGGTATTCCATTAAAATGACAAATAAAAGAGGAGAGACTGGATCACCTTGTCTAATTCGTTTGCCACCTTTAAAGAACCCAAAACATTCTCCATCTAGCTGCACTGATTAAGAGGGAGTGGACATATAGTATGTAATCCACCTGATGAACATTGATGGGAATTTCATCAAAGTCAGAATTTGTTCTATGGACTTCCAGCTGACATTATCATATGCTTTCTGCAGATCCAGTTTCATGAGCATTCTAGGGGATATGTTTTTCCTATTGTAACCCCTTGCTAGTTCCTGACAAAGCAACACATTATGAACTAGTTCTGTGTCCTCCACAAATGCTCCTTGATTAAGGTTAATAATGGATGGTAAGATCTTCTTAAACCTTCCACAGAGGATTTTTGATATGACCTTATAGATTACATTACAGCAAGATATAGGCCTCAGGTCAGTGGGATTTTTTGGATTATCTTTCTTGGGGATAACAGTTATGTTGGTAGCATTGATCTGTTTAAGTGTTTCACCTTTTTGGAAGAAATCCTGTATGGCTCTGGTGATCAAGTCCCCAATTAGTCCCCATTGATGTTTGAAGAATCCACTAGAGTACCCATCAGGTCTTGTGCTCTTTTGGTTAGGGATTTCGAACAAATTCTTTTTTATTTCTTCAGGAGTTACAGGGGTGATGAGCAGTAGTTGTTGTTCAATTGAGAGGCATTTTCCCATGTCCACAATATCTTTCTTAATATCCTGGGTGTCATTTGGAACTCTCAACTGTTTCTGAAAGTAGTCTACCAAAATTTTAGCAACTTCTTTCTTCCCTTCCACCATGTCTCCTTCAGCATTAGTAATGGATGTGATCTGATTCTGAGCTCTTCTTTTTTTTCACCCATGCATGAAAATACTTTGTGTCTTGATCTCCATAGATGAGCCAGTTAGCTTTAGATTATTGACTCTTCAAGAGGAAACTGGCTTTTAGTTTCATGTGAAGTTCCTGCCTCAATTTATTCTCTGCGTCCAAGGTTTGTGTAGTAATCTGATTCTTTAGTGCAGCTTGAACAGAGAGAAGTTTGGCTTTGATTTCATCAATTTGTTTGTCCAAATGTTGGAACCTTTGTCTATTTAGCTTCTTCAGTGGGGATTTAAGGATCTTCAGTTTTTGTACCACTTGAAACATTGTTATACTTTCATGATTAGTGTTCCAAATATCCTTCACAATTTGGGGAAACTGGGTATCAAGGGTCCACATGTCACAAAACTTAAAAGAATGTCCAGCCATACTCTTGGAGATTTCCTTAAGAATCATAGCAGAATGGTCAAAGATCCCTCCTTCTCTGAATATAGCTCTCAGGTTAGAGTTAACCATCCAATCAATGTTCCCCAATATTCTGTCCAATTTTGAATAAATGCGCCTTCGGATCCAATACCCTAATTATTGCACCAAGTATATTTGGAGCCTTCAAAAGGCAAGTCTTCTAACCCACAAACATTTAAACAGTCTAAGAATTCCCTGCTCTCCTCCGGTTACCCCCTATTCTCTCATCCATCTTCAGTACTGTGTTAAAATCCCCCATTACACACCATGGAGAATTCACCAAGTGATTTTGAAGGAAGGCCCATAAGTCTCTTCTCTTAGCCATATCATTGTGTGCATATACAAAGGTAAGGAAGAAACTCTTGTTTTCACCAATGAACCTCACTTGACAATGGACAGCTTGATCAATAACATCTAAAATAGTAGTAGCAACTTTATTCTGATTCCATATAATCCAAATTCTTCTAGGGGGTGAGCATTATTGTTTATAAAAGAACTCCAGTTACCAGCTAATCTGTCCATTATTTGTGCATAATTGGCCTCTCTCACTTTAGTCTCCCAAAGTCCAATGATAGAAAGGCTAAATTTATTGATGAACTCCTTAACTTCATTCTGTTTATTGAGGCTATTAAGCCCTCTAATATCCAACAACCAATCACAGAAGGAAAGGGTAGTGCCCCTCATATGGGGCTAAACTTAGATCCTTATGTAACATACCAATAAATGATGCTTCATTCGCTTTTAGTGATTTCCTACGTGCTGCTTTCTTCTTGCTAATTTCTGCGAATTCTTCTTCTTTATCAAATGGGCTTTCTGTCATAATTGGGTCATTAGTGACATCCACATGCTCAGAAGTTTTTAAGGTTATCTCAGCTTCTGCTTGTTTTGTAACCTTATCTTGAGTGATTTTTGGCCTCCAGATGGTTTTCTTCTTAGGTGGTTCCCCTTCTTTTGTTACTTTTTTCCTCTTGCAGTTTTCTTCTATATGCCCTATTCTGCTACAATGAGAGCATAGGGTTGGTGCCCATTCATAAACCACTGCTTGTGTTATTAATCTCCCTTCTTCATTAATGAAATGAACTTGGTCTGGAAACTTTTGGTTAACTTGAACTTCAATTTGTATACGTGCATATATCCACTGGTTCTAGCTGTAGTAGCTTTGTCCCTCCTAATTGGTTGCCCTATAGAGCTTCCAATTTTGCTTAAGTCTGTTAAACCCCAATATTTCATATCCAAATCTGGAAGCTGAATCCAGATGGGAACATCCTTACGCCCTAAGACATCAACCTTGCATCATGGATACCACTCTTGCACATAAACAGGTTTGTTGTCCATATAGTAATATTTCCTCTTGATTATTTCATCTCTGTCCTCCTTTTGGAATCTGACAATGAACTGGCCTTCTTTTAGAAAAGATACATCATCGATTCTGTAAGTTACGTTCTCCATATATGAAACAGGAAACCTTTAACAACCTCAAGAGGAGGGTTTGCTCCCAAAACACAGCATACTAACGTAGATTCCAAGTATGTTCCAGGTTCTATAACATCCTCTTGTGTCAATCTAGCAATAGGTTTACCATCAATATAACCTCTGTTGGAATGAATTTCAAGTTGAAATTGAGCTCTTCATGGATCCCTATAGCTTGTGCATAACTTTTCATCGGTGATTGGGTAATAGCCGGATTCTCCTAAGGGATCTCTGTATTAATCTGATCCGGAATAAGATCTGAATCCAGCGGGATCTGAGGTGGGGATGAGCTCTGTGGATCTGATTTCCGATCATCGTTGGATGCCGAGCAATCCTGTGCGCTGTGGTCTTCTCCGATAGGTTTGTTGGAAAATTGATTAATAATCAAAACAAAAGAAAAAGAAAATGAAAAAGAAAATAAAAGATAAAGAAAGGAACATGCATACGAACTAATGCATATGGGAGGATGTGTTCTCTCTTGTCACTTAGTGATGCATGATATGAATGCATGTCATGTGTGGAGATTCTTGGCTATAAAGGAGTTCACATTGCCTAGCTATTGGTGTGTGTGGGTTTTACACACCACCAAGGTAGAGAGAGAAGCATGAGGGGAATTCTACACAAGAATACCACCGGGAAAATCCAAGGGGTCTTGGTGAGTGTGGGTGAGTGTAGGGAGTAACTGGTTTTAGTTACTCGGAAAAATATATCCGGACATAGGATGTGGAAAGATCTGTTTACGAGTGTCTGGAATTTAGCCTTGTAAACAGGGGAGAGTTTTTTGTATATTGTCCTGAAGTAGTGGAAATATAATTTTTTTTTCTCATATATTCTTCTTGTGTTTGTTCTCTCATTTTTCTGGTGTTCTCAATATTTTTCGGTATCTTACGCGCTTAAAATCCCAACAAGGTTTTATGGTGGATTTTCCGTCCAATTTAGGCGGTCGCCCTCTCTTTCCCATGGTTAGAATGTGCTAGCTAAAGATAGTTCCTTCCAGTTTTAGGTAAATGAAAATCATTGTTTCCCCTTAATTTCCTAATTCAATTGGACATAAGGTGAACCAGAGAATTGATATTGTTGTTATTTTGAAAGTCTAATATCTACCTTGTGATGTTTGTCCACGTCTTGTGCAATGACCTCTCTTCTCCTTGGGTAGAGGTAAAATCTAGTGCCAGACCCTACTTTTGAGTTGTATATGTCGGGCTTGTTCAGTCTGGTTTGTTATTATGCAGCTTGTGATGCTTGTTTTTGTATTCCGTATATTGGTTGAGTGGATGAAGATATAACTACCTTCCGGTTTTGGTTTCACTCCTCTAAACCTCTCTAAAGAGACTGATCACTGAAGCACTGTACTTCATCAGTTCATCCTGTTGTTGTAAGTAAATGAATTGAACACATACCAGTATTGCAAGTTGGCAGAACAAGTTATTGTTATATGGAGTATTTGTTATTCCTGATTTAAGAACATATATTCCGCGAGTATTGTAAAGTACTAAAACACACAACTGGATGCTTGGACTTGTCAGTAACTTGACTAGGAGTCTTCGACCACTAGATTTAGTATTGTCTGCAGATAATTTGACCACTTCACTATTAAGTTAGTGCATTCAATCTGTTGTGTCATATGGTACATTGCAGCTGCATCAATGTTGATGTCAATCCAATAATTGATTTTAGTTATGTGTATATAGCAGATACGCGTAGATTGCATCTGCATAAATTTAGAGGGTTAAATCTATAGTTAAGCATGATGAGTATTTTCTTTTAATGCTTGCCTGTTGTACTTTTACCTATCTTGAATGATATTGTCTTGCATAGAACCAAAGTAGAACCAATGTTTTGAAAGTGCAATGAAATTCGATCAGAGTCTTATATATTAGTGGTAAATGAGCTTTTAGTTACATGAATGCGTACATATTTCAGTCAGTTAGATGAATGTGGCTATGCCCTATGTGAGCCTTGGGTCTGGAAGATATCAAGAATAACTCACTGACATTATTTTATTGTGAACAGCCTCTTGCAGATGCAATACACTACAAAAACAATGATTTTGTCAAGCTTCTAGAGTCACATGGAGCAAGACTTCCAGTATGTCCTACGTATCTAAAATTGAATGTGCGGATCACTAAATCTACATAAGCATCTTAATTGATATTCTATGTAACTGTGAATGGTAGTCACAATTCTAGAGGGGTTTTCCTGCTCATTTTCCTCTGTTTTATTCAGGGAGTGATGACGTAAATGAGTTTAAAGTATTTTTCTTGATTTTATTTTTATTTTTTGTATCTTAGAATGAGATTCTTGGAAGGGTTGTGATTGCCTGCGTATCTAATTATTGGTTTTTTAAATGGCAGAAAGATTGGATTTTTAATGGAGGTTAGGGGGAGACATGAAATCGATTTAGCTTCAAGAAAAGATTCTTGAAAGGGGTTTTCATGGGTTTTTCTTGATTAAATCTTCTCTCTTTAAATTACAAAAGATTTTAAGTTGTTAATTTGGGGGTTTTTTTCCACTTGAATTTTCAGCGCTGAGGAGATTTCAAGCAATCCATTGGCTTGAATATTTAGAAGGTCCTTTAGGGGTATCGAGCCAGGCGTCTGAGAGAGAGTTTCTTGCTTGCTTGAGAAATGGATTGATACTTTGCAATGTGATGAACAAGGTCCAGCCCGGATCAGTTCCAAAGGTAAATTTGTTTTTTTTTGTGTCAAAATAAATATATTTTAGATAAATCAACTCTAGGTTCTGAATTGTTCTTATTCTTGTTAGGTTGTAGATAATCACTTGCCTTCACAATCAGTCATTTGGGATTCTCAGCCTCTACCAGCATATCAGTATTTTGAGAACATTCGAGACTTTTTTGTTGCTGTCCAGAATTTGAGATTGCCCACTTTTGAGAAAACAGTGAGGTTTTAGAGCTGAAAGTGTTGGAGTTGTGCCCTGATGGCCAACTGTTTATCGTTATTCTATCATGTATAGGCAGATATAATATGTTTACACATCTCATGCTAATGTAAACAAATATTATATTCCTAGATTTATATTTAAAAGATGTTTATCAGATAGTGTTCTTCTGCTGATGAGACTAACATCTTGAAATAAATATTTATCTAAATTTCCATAGTCGAGTATTAACGAGAGTTGGATATCGTTAATGCATGTGAGACTAGTGTGTGTTGGATGTTTGACTTAGTCTCATAGTCAATGACGGTGTGTTCGCATCCGCACATGGGCAGATATTATCTAGAGATAATAGGATGCCGGACTGACCCATCCTAAAGATGTTGCTTGAACTTTTAGTTCATGCTCTAAGCATCTTTAGCGCGACCACGGGTGTAACTATCCTTCGACTTGAAGTATTACGTTTTCTGCATATGTGAACCCGCATGCTTTGATGCATTGTCCTAAGCCATATGAAATAAGGATGGTATACAGGCTTTGTTTTGGGTATGCCGCAGCGCGTATTCAGAAACGTAGATTACGTACATAGGATTTGTCACTACTCTTTTTAAA